GATACGAGAAACTGAATATGAGATGGCTGCATCTGCTGGTGTGTACATGCATTTCAGTCAGCGTAACATCAGTTTGACATATACACACACACACACACAGAGTCGTATACAGCAAAATAAGACAGACGGTACAAAATCTGGAGCCGTTTCCAGTCTGGTTTGGTGTCTACTTCTGCATGAAAACAATTTGTGCTTCTTATATAAAGGAGAACTAATTAAATGCAATGTTTAAGAATAAGAGCACTCTCTGACATAAAGGCAAATTACAGGACAAACCTGGAGCCACGGCCCCTGCGGTGATTTGCTGTAATAATGCTGTAGGCAAACCCAGAAGATCCTAGCTCCTCCCAGGCTCCCTCGATAACAAAATCAATTGTTGCTGGATGATTGCAGAAAAATTGCCATTTTTGTTCAGGAAGGTAATCTTCACTTATTAAAGCCACTGTTATGATCTTTGACATGTAATTGAAACCATCATAAATAAAAGATCAAGCTACACTGGTCACATGATCTCAGTGTCACTTCTGCAAAGTGTTTGATGACTTGATGTTGAGCTTTTGGAGTAAACGCCTCCTTAACAACATATAAAAGGTCACAAATTTAGAAGTGGTGTTTTTACTTATGTACTGTCAGTGGGTAAAGTTGAACAAGGTGAAGCTATATCAAGCTTTTATTAGTTAGAGAGTTTTTTTCTGGGATTTTACTCAAATACCAAACAACTGCTTTAATTTTGGGCTTTAACAACTGTTCTCTCTAATAAACTGTATTATCCTTGTCAGAGTTGGTCTCTTCTGTGATGAAAATACCCAATTTAAAGGGCACCAGTAGTGGCTGAATGATTTCATATGTATACGTATTAAACGTGCTAAATCTAAAGCTAGCTTAGATTAGCTTTAGCTAAATCTAAAGCTAGCTTAGATTTAGCTAGCTTTTTTGTGGGAGATTTTGGATATACTGGGCAGTGCTGTCCACATATCCTCATGTTCTTGTTCTTATGTTTAAGAATAACTATACAACAGGCAGGTGACAAATTACAGGATACCTGGAATAACCTGGATAAACCAGGGTCAAGCAGGACAAACCTGACTTTTAGGCTAACCAAAAGTTAGCACCACCCATGATGTCTTGATAAAAAGTCAGTGGTGCTTTTTGTTCAGGAGGTTAATGTTTAATGTCTTTAACACAGCTATCATCAGAACATAAATTCAGGGAATATCTTTTGGATAAACATTGTTCATTCCTCCACTAAATGCACACATAATGGGGATGTATTGTTATGCTATTTTACTCCAGTTTAAATCATAGTTTGGGTCGCACCAGCTACTCATAAATCAATACGAAGTCCTCTGTAATTCTTTATAAACACTT